ACACCCAGCTAATGGTGTTTGACATCAGCCCTGATTACAGCAGTGATGCCGACAGAGATCCAGACTTCTACACCTCTGTGCCATCAGAAGTGACGGTGAGAGCTTTTTAAACTCTGATTTAGTGGTTGTTAATTTAATGGCTCCAGTATCCTCTGGATAAATGTCCCTTTAAAAAAGAATAAAAGAACTAAAATATACATTTTAACTACAACAAAAAGAAAGTTTTGTTCTTTTGTGCGTCTTAATAGAGTTATTTTTGTAATATTATTTCAGCTGCTGGAAAAATCTTGTCGTGTTTGAGCATCATAGACTGAAGAAAGATGAGAGAGCAGTTTAAGACTTTTGTACAATTGGTGATAAAATAATCCATATATTTGTTTCTCCACACATACCATAACAGAAAAAAATGTTATCTATGAACCAGTTTAACTATTAAGCCAACTGTGGGATGTCCTAATGGCCACACTTCATTTCTGAGCCTCATATTTCAAACTAAAATGACAAAATCAAGAAATTCAACTGACTTTGATGACAATGCAGCAACAGACATGCTTCAGTGAGGCTTCAGGACTTTCAGTACTTCTGATGTTCAGTTCTTCAGGTCAGTTAATTCGGATATTTTTCTGGTTCTCAGCCAAAAATCTTCAAATCGAAGGCAGTGATTTTCAGGCAGAGCTACATGACCTCAGTGCTGGCAGTGAGGCAGAGAGGCTGGATGGTTTTCTATATTGGGACAGGAGATGGACAGCTCATTAAGGTTTGTACAAATGATCATACATCAGTTATTATTAACAGAAAGAAATAAAGCTAATGTTCAGTATTTCAGAGGCCATCTAGTAGCAGTAGGGTGTCTATTGAGTAACCTGTTAACTAAACAAATTTAATGCATTAACTGTTTAGGAATTACAGCCATTTTTATACACAGGCCGCCATTTTCACAGTCAGTTGAGGCCTAATTTCGTTATGTCACAACATTTCGCTGGAAGTCAACATATTAGGCCCAAAGAAGAGTCAGTGCAAGTAAACAAGGCTGAACAAGCAAAAGAAAGCAGACAGACAGCAGAGCCTGCAGGAGAAGCCAAATCAACATTCCAGGTCAAGAACATCCAACGAGTCTGAACAAGTACAGAAGACAACCGATGTGGATGTTTGCAGCAGTGTTTCATTAGTTTACAGCTACAGAGCATCTTGGATTACCAAGAGCACCCTTGGAGAAGTAGTTTTGTCGTCCTTTATCAAACTTTGAGCTAAAGAGACACCTTCAGGAATGTATATACGGAAACCATTGTTTGCACTCGGGCACAGGAAGACCAGATTAGACCTGGCTGAAAACATCTCAAAGAATAAATATTTGGACAGAAACAAAGATTTACTGGATGATGGTTAACGGGGGGAGAAAAGTGTAAAAGCTGTATAGTTTTGTTTTAAGTGTAAATTATAACATTAAAAATTTTATTCATTGTGTTTGCAACACTTGTTAACCTCCTAAGGCCCGAACTCTTCCACGACATGCATTTTTAATTTCTCTTTGATATTTGGGCTTATTGGGGCCCGATGAATGTAAAAACAAAGAATTACCAGATTTGTTTAACCTTATTTTTGTTTTTAAGAAAAATAAGAGCCATATATGAGGATATTCATTTAAAATTTTAATAGAACAGTAGCAGTATAATGTCCTCGTAAGTGGATGTGGATGGCCCATGTAGAGCAAAATTGAGTATTTTGGTCTAAATAACCCAAAATATGATGTCCACATATGTGGACGACAGGTCCTAGGAGGTTAATTATATGATTATCAGCTTTATTTTTTTTTACATTCTTCCTAGAGTCCCATTTTTTTCAAAGCAAAGTTGTAACTAGATTGATCACTCACACTGCTTCTGATCTGATATAAACAACCAAACAATACAATCCCCCCCCCTCCCCCCACTGAGTACAGAAACAATAGTACAGTCTCTCCTTCTTGTTGACAGCTGTCTGTGGACAGGAAGTATCACGCTGCCTGTCCCACGGTGCTCTACAGGACCAGTGATGACCGCAAAGTGTTTCCCAAATTACATCTGGATCCAGTGGATCATAAACATGTGTATGTGCCATTTAGAAACCAGGTACTTAAATTATTTACTGATTATCTTATTGTCACATGTACCTGTGCTGCATTTTAAAGTGTTTGTTGTTCTAGGTGAAGCGAGTTCCTGTGTCAAACTGCAGCACGTACACAAATGTGCAGGAGTGTTGGTCTGCACAGGATCCATACTGTGGTTGGTGTGGCTCTAAAAGCAGGTGAGAGAAACAACATGCAGCTGATGTCTCCAAACTATTCTGAACTTGGTGATCATTTCTCCTTCTTCTTCTCCTAGCTGCACATTTGAAGATGACTGCACAGATTCAGACTGGCTGTCCATTCCTGATGAGTCCCAACACAAAATGATTTCCCACAAAGTTGAACAGGACACAAACGGACAGGTACAGCTTCACAAACACACTCGGGACTGTGATCATTTGTGGCTTTCAGGTGTTTCTCACTTATGTTCTTCATTTTCAGATTTTACTAAAAATCCACATACACCTGACTGTGGGCCAGGAAGGGCCGTCTAACTTTGCCTGTCAGTTCGCTGCGAGGTCCGGCTCGATTTGTGCTTCGAATAACCCTGCTCCACATTTCCCACAATGCACCTGCATCCTGTCTGATCGTACTCTTCCTGCTGATGGTCAGTGACTTTTCAGAAATAATTCCAGGAATAAAATGCTTCACAACAAAAGTTATTTATTGATTTGTAGTATTTGCCAAAATAAGAAAATTAAATCAGAAATATTAATGGCAGAGCTACTCTGACAGATGAAATATTCTAACTGTTTATTATTATAGTGGTACAGCTCAAACATATATACTACTAATAGTAGAGACTTTGACACTTAAGTTTTTTTACATTTTTTTTTAATTTACAGGTCTGCATGTCACAATAAAATTCAGACTTGGGACATCACAACTGTCAGAACAACTGAGGTTAAACGACTGCTCTAACATGAGTGGACCACCAACTTTCATGTTGTAAGTCCATTAATACCAGAAATGATTCAACGACTCAGACTGTGGACAGACTAAAGTGGTCCTGATGTGATTAACAGAAAGATCAGACAATCAAGTCGCAGTTAGAAATCAAAGAGAACAAAACTTTACTGATGAAAGCTGGAAAAGTTGAATAATTGAATGAAACTGTACAGACAGGATGGACAAGAGACAAGTGGTCTTGTTGTGGGAAGTCTTTATACTGGTTTATTTCAGCAAAGCCATGAGTTTGCTCCCGGCCTGGAGCATACTTGAAAACATATTTTCATTATTAAATGTTCTCGGCAGTAAACTCATACAGCTTCCTCAGTTCAGCTGAGTTTTGTTCAGTAGAACTTCTTGGCTGAACATCTGCTCTCTTCCTGTTATTCATTCAGGATGACGCGGACTGAGTGTTTCTGTTTCTGCATGAAAAGTATGGCAGTCTCTTTTCATTCCCAAAAGTGCACGTAGTTGATTCCTCTCCTTGAATCCTTTCCTCGGCATCTTGGTCCCTCCTACCAGCTGTGGCAGCAGAGGAAATGAGGAAGAGAGATATTTAACAAAATAAGAAATCCTGTCAGTTAAGACATAAATGAATCATAAAGAACTTTAGCGACTGTGGCTGAGGAATAAGAACTGCTTCAGTGCAGATTGGATTGACTGAGCCGACACGCAGTTTTCCTCAGGAAGTGGATGGAGAGCAGGCAGGTGGGGTGAGCGTGAGTGTTCGGAGGTCCAGGTGGTTATGAGTAGGAAAAACAAAATAGCTTTGTCCTTCTATCATTCGTGCACTCCTTTTTTCCCTATGGTGCTTTTTTGTGCTCATCTCACTCCTCTGTTTTCTGCTCAGGTGTCGGCAGTGTATCAAAGTTGGTTGTGGATGGAACAAAAACAGCTGTTCCTGGGCTAACCAAGGAGAGACTGGTGTACTAGTGACTCGTTTTATGGATTTTCTTACTTCATATCAGTCTGTGTGCTACATTATTTTAAATTCATCACTTTTTAACATTCAGCAAGAAACGTGGGCTTAATGGTAGAAAACAACATTTTTAGTAAAGGCCAGACATGCTAAGAAAAACACAATTACTGATTACTGAGCAAATTTCCTACTGATTAACTTATTTTGAGGGTGACATTTTCAAGTATTTATTGCTTCATCAATACAATGATTTCCATGTTTAGTTTATAAAAAATAAAAATGCTTTTATTAGCAGTTTTCCTCTTTTTGAACTAAGATAATGTTAGCCACAACAGGTCCTAGATCAGTTCTGATAGATTACAGTGCTACGCACATGCTAAGTGTTGAATCCCTCCCCCCCTGCAGGACAGAGTTTGCCAAGAGTTGGAGTCTGGGAAGAACTTCTCCGTGAGTCTGATCCTCATTGTTCCTCTGACACTTAATCCACATCCAGTATAATGTCAGCAGAAAGAAATTAAATTATCTATTTTTTTTTGTTTCACTGTCAGATCCCAGAGATCTCCTCCATCACTCCCAGTGTGGTGTCTTTCTATGGGACAAACCATGCAGTGTTATTAGGTCGTAACCTTGGTGATGTGAAACGAGTGAGGATCCAGACACACGCTGACTGTACTCCAAAAGAGTGAGCCACTGTACACATAACTAAGACGATGTTGGGAAATGACAAATTAAAGAGCAGATTTTAATACAGGGGAACACCACCCATATTACAAACCTACATATTCTATAATTTAACCCTCTCAAGGCAGGCTTTGCCGATTTGCAACAGTTAAAAACTAACAACCTGATTACCCCACATACATATTTTATGAGGTTTTTTTTACTCAGAAGTACCACTGCAGGGCTTGGTTGTGCATTAGCAACAAAAAGTTTAATTTGAGCCTGAGAGGGTTAACTTTGACAGGTCAATTCTAAAATAGTTAACAGTGTGTTTTATAAAATACTAACAAATCCAGAATATGTACAATTCTTATTGTACATATTCTGGATTTGTTAGTTAGAAAATAAGAATTTCACCACCGGCCGTAAACCGCTGTTTATTCTTATAAACAGCGGTTTACGGCCTGTGGTGAAATTCTTATTTTATCAGTCTCCCTTCACACAAAACAACAATAAAATATTACATAAAGAAACAATACAAGGATTCAAAATTAAGGTGCAAAAGAAGAAATTAGTAAAAATAAAACAACAAGTTTTGTCTGTTTTTAGGTTTTCTGCATATCGTGGTGATGTCATTGAGTCTGTGTGTCTTTGCCCAGGTCTCCTGTTTGGGACAACACTGGTATCAGTCTGACGTTCCACATTCCCAGCACACATCTCAAAGGTGTGGCCAACGTATGCGTTCTCCTCCCAGATGGTAGTTGCCATGGTGATGCTAACATCACTTACCGCTCATCGCCATCCTGTGGCAACATTACTCCAAGCAGCAGCTGGATGAGGTAAGATTAGTTTTGCACAAAGCGTTAGCGACAGCTGCTGATGGTGGATCCAGAACTTCCAGCAGCTAATGTCACAGAAAGAGTTTAAACTGAAGCTTTGCATTACTGGATGACTAAAAGGAACTAGTGCTGATAACTGTTTTTGAGGAGGAGGTCACCTCTGACTAAATTCGGTTTAGTTTTTAGACAAATCAAATCAAATAGAACCAAATTAACAACCATATAATATTTGCAACACATTTAATGTGACATATGGAGAGCACTGTCTCTAAAAAATTATCTTCTGAGAAGTGCAATAAAAACCTGATAAATCAAAATGATAATCATCTGCAGTTCATTTTAACAGGGAATCTTCCTGAGGCAATAAAGGCCGATAGTAAAGGTGGTGTTAATGATCCAAATCTAAAACTACTTTAGTCTTAATTAATTATTACAAATATAACATGTTAGTGGGAAAGAATATAGACAGATGGATATTTTTCTGCTCCATCAAGCAATAAGCTTATCGTTACACCTTTATTGAGCTCTGCTGGTTTTCTGCTATAATGCTGTAGATCTTTCTTCCATTCAGAAGTGATGCAGCATCATTTATATTCTCAAGCAAACTCTTAAAGAACCCCACGGTGATCCTTTCATGCTTTGGCCTTTATAGCTACAAAGCTAAATTTGTTGTTTTAGTCCATCAGACACTTTGGTCTGCATCAGAACATAACAACTAGGTCAGATGATGACTCATTATACTCTAGTGTATAGAAATCTCTTAAAGCAGCAATGGGAGCCACTGCAGTACGGTTTTACCATTACATTGAGGTGTCATTATAACAATTCTTTCTCTGTGATCAAGAGTCTTTCAACTCTCTGCTCTGCATAAATGCTGCTCTGTGTTTGGCAGTGGGAAGAGGAAGCTCACACTCATGGGGTCTCACCTGGACCTTGTTGAAGGGGTCGTACACAGCCACGCCGAGCACGACGTCAAGCTTCCCATCAACAGCAGCTATCAGGTCTGCAGACACACACAGTGTAAATGGGAGTGTTGTTACACATCAAATATATAGTTTTACATAATATGTCTTTCTCTGGTTGATTTACAGAGGTAAAGATGTCATCGTTCAAACATTCAAATTTTAAAATGTTCAAAATGTTGGCTGATTTCAACAGGAAAGCAGAACACATTCAGACTAGATGTGTTTTTAAATGCCAGCTCAAACAAACGTTTGTTCATCATTTTAAAAGACAATAGGATAAACACTAGTGAACGATGATTACAAAAGCACTCATGTTAAATGAACAAACAAATAAACAATGAACTAACATTAAAGCAAGCTTCAGTGTATGAGAAGACAAATTAATCTGCTCCACTACGAGGTTTTCTATTCATTGTGCATGCGTATGAAACGTGTACACACCCGAGTTTTAGTCAACTTAAAAAATGAGATCCCGACAAATAATTTCAAAACTGTTCTCATCTTTAACTCTAACCTGTACAATATAATTTCAAAACCAACTAACCAACTATATTTTAAAAAATATAATTTTTTAAATATATTTAAAAATAATAATAAAACATTCAATTAGTTGGTTGCATACGTGTGCACAAACCTAGTTAGCCCAATGCTTTGTGGAAGTGCCTTTTGATTAATCAGAGGATTGGGTCTCTCAGCATGGCATATCTGACTTGCCCATTCTTACTTGCTCCAAATGTGTAAAATTGTGAGAGCATGTGCACAGGCATTTTCTGGTCATCCCACAGATTTTTTAATGGAAACAATCAGGCCCCATCTTATCTTAAAGACGTAATCGTACCATATTACCCCAATAGAGCACTTTGCGCTCAGACTATTGATTCATTGGGTATTTAAAAGTAGAATGGGAAGCAGAGCCTTCAGCTTTCAGCTCCTTCTCTGTGGAACCAGCTCGAAGTTTGGATTCAGGAGACAGACACCCTCTCTACTTTTAAGATTAGGCTTAAATTTTTCCTTTTTGATGAAGCTTATAGTTAGGGCTGGATGAGGTGACCCTGAATCCTCCTTTAGTTATGCTGTAATAGGCCCAGACTGCTGGGGGATTCCCAGGATTCACTGTGAGTGTTTGCGTTTATATATGTTTATAAACCACTCCGCATTTAATCATTAGTTATTATTAGTCTCATGCCCTCTTCCACAGTGTGTCTGTGTCCTGTCTTCCTTCTCTCACCCCCAACCAGACCAACATGTCAGAGGGCTGCCCCTCCCTGAGCTTGGTTCTGCTAGAAATTTCTCCCTGTTAAAAGGAAATTTTGAACGTTCTGTTGAATTTAGGTCTGGACTCTAGCTGGGCCTTCCAAATTTTTAATTTTATTCTAATGAAGACATTCTTTGGCTGATTTGGATGTATGTTTTTCGTCATCATTCTAGCAGACTCCTTAAGGTTTGGGACTGATATATTTTCAACAAAAAAGGAAGAGAAACAAAAACAAACTTGAGTCAGACATTTGTTATAGCGATATGTTGTAGCACAGTTTAGGTGTGTGTGTGTGTGTGTGTGTGTGTGTGTGTCATCGTAACTCCTGTGCTAAAGAATTAGTGCTCAACTATACTTAAAAAATAACGTCACTTAAGCATCTCATCCAGACATTGACTTTATAACACAGAATGTATTTAAACTCCTTGCAGAGTCTCAGCTATGACACACCTGCAGCTGAAAACACTTTGATGATTTCTAGCAGCACTGTGCTTCTAAAAGCAGCCAATGAAACTTTAGCCTGCTCTTTAAACATCACCTACCATCCAGAGCCTGAGTTTACCAGCTTCACAGCCATAAGGACAGGAAACAATGTGCGCATCACCTTGAAGGTAACATTGTTTCTTTTGCTTTTTTTTTTTATCACATGTACAAACAGGAGTTCATTAAAGGTCAAACTTTGTTTCTGTTGTTTTAGAAAAAGTTAGACAAACTGGAGATGTCAAAAGACGAGTTATCAGTGTGGGGCGTTCAAGACACACAGGAATACGGCTGTATCATGGAGGCCAAAGAAACCAGTAAAGAGACAGACTCCTTCAGCTGTGAGGTTAAAGGGCTACCCAACACACGAATCCAAAAGTTAAAGGTAAATCTTTCTTTTAAGCTATAGGCAACACTTTCATAGAGATACATTTGTTGTGACAGTAGGTCCAACATTATAGCAATCGTGTTACCATACAAAGTGCACAAAATATATTTCTGATATTATTTTTAATGACTGTTTTCTAAAATAATGCTATAAATACTTTATTGAACTTCAATACACAATCAACATAAAACAAAACAAAACTGATCAAATGAGTCTGTGGTGAGAATAGCAAAAGTTTTGAGTAGAAGCTTTAAACTTGTATCAAGTCCAAAAACATAAAATATCTTTTTTTAAACAGTTATGTTCAAATTGTGATATTTCCTTCAGAATAGTTCTGCTGCTCTGGTGAGACTTCACCCTGTGAAATGCTTTTTTGTATTTTCTAGATAAAGTATGGTGACAAGACAATAAGCCTCAGTGATTCATCATCACACCATGTCTCTCCAATACTGCTTTCCCTGCTGATAATTGGACATATTGCCAGTAAGTTGTGTTGACATATTGGCTTTTTCTATAAACCCTGAACAAATTTCAATAGATTATGTGGTACAATTTCCGGAGACTTTTTCTACTCCATCTTGACAGCGTTCTAGTTTTTCTGCTCAGGTTAAATTGGTTACTGTTTGGCTTTTTGTATTGGTGGCTGTCTGTCTATGGTGGAAGAGATGCCCAGGGAGATGAATGGATTTTGACCAATGATGCCCCTCTCTGTGTTCAAGTGTTTTCATGTTATGTCTGTTTGATTAATAAATCACTTTGATGAATAAATCTTCCTTGTTTAACAATGTGCCATGGTGTGTTCTCCCTCTGTTTATGACTTCTTGATGTCTTTTATTAGTAAAAATTATAAAAAAAAATATACAACAAATATAATAATATACACCAGAATCTCATTATAGCTTTGGCGTATGCCAAATAGGAAGACATAATTAAATACCAATCAAATATATATATATATATATATATATATATATATATATACATACACGAGTACAGCATTCTTTATTTCTAATAAATATCCCAAAAATGAGCTACTGTACCTTAAACACATGTGAAGTTGGAAGAAGCTTAAACACTTTGAATTCATGTGCCAGGTCACCAAGGAGTTATTTTTTCCTTCCCATATTTCGGTTAATCTTTAACCTCACAATTCAGGCATAACTTCAGGCCGTTGCCCTTGTGATAGTATAAATATGCATTTTAGTTGTTTCATGTAATTTCTTTTTCATATATTTTGGAAGCGGGCATTGATGTAAATTCCTTCCACAATGCAAATAAAGGCTTCTCCCTAGTGTTTAATTATTTTGCATAGTGTATAGTGTGTTGTTATTTTATAAAATCACTTTTGAAGTTTTTTTTTATTATAGCTGGAACTGTGAATTTAAAATAAATACATATGTTTGTCAGAAGCAAGCATATGTCAGAAGGCACACCATCTGAAAAGAACTTCCCAACACTGACACTAGATGTCGCTGTTGCTGTTCTCCAGTTAAAACGTGTAGGAAGTTTTTATATTACATTTTTAAAAGTTGGCTGAGATTTCTTCTGCTCATGTTAATCAGTGGACACATCATTTGTTCAATGGAAAGATCATCACATTAGATCCAGACACAACACATGTCAAAATTCTGCCTGTGCTAACGTCTCAGCTCCTCTAAGTGTGTCCTTAGCTGAGAGTTTCCATTACATTCCTAAACTCAGGACTGAATGGCTTTTGTGTCCGAATTATTTCTCAGTTCATATATTTCCTTTGATTTAGGTCAAATCTGGCTTTACACTAACACCAAATCGCCTCTTATTATGTCCGCAGTTCAATTTCCTTATTTGTTAAAGGGGAAAGTAAAATACATCAAACTCAGTTTCACTGTTTGTTTTTATTTGACATTCACTGACAGACAGATGTTAATAAGTACAGCATCAAACAGATTGTAACAAATATGATATCGATTAGTGAACTGCTTCATGATTTTTGATTGAATAGTACCCATACTACATGGCATGGACTGGGAATTCAGTTGAGAAATGATTGTAACTGAAATGCTTCCATCCACTCTGGATTCGGATTCTTGTTGAGATGGATATCATTGTATGACTTGCAAAGTTGTTATAGTTAACTAAAGCTAAACTAAAAACTAAAATGTGATAATGAAAAAAACAAAAAAACAAACAAAAACAAAACAAAAACATTTTAGTTAACTAAAACAAAACGACCAAACTGAAAACTAACTGAAACAATCTTATGATGCTAGAAAACTAACAAACTAAAATGAACATATGAAAATATGCACTTAGTGTTTGATAGTTTGGTACATTTGTATCTGAACTTGCTTTATGAGGCTTTGATGCACATATTTTTTGAGATTTCTACAACAACTATTTCAACAGTGTGTGCTTTTATTGTAATACTGTACTGATTTTGCTGATTGTTGCCTCTAACATAAGACCTCCATACAATAATAACTAAAAAATTACCAAAACTAAGACTGAAACTAAAACTAAACATGTTTTGAACAGTAAGAACTAAACCGTAGTGAGCAAACTTCACCTTTGATGGAGACATCCTCCAATTTGCTGTGACCTCCAACATGCTTTACATCGCCACAGAGGAGAGGCTGTACCAGCTGAGCCACGACCTGACTCTGATCAACAGTCTGACCCAGAGAGGAATCTTAAAGACCGGAAACCAGCAGGATGATGTGCAGTTTTACCAGGTTTCTGACACAGCTGAGTGGAACGCAACATTCAGCATCAACGTGATGTTGCCTTTCACAAAGAATGACTCTCTGATCAGCTGCGGTGTGACTGACGATGACTGTGGTCACTGCGAGATTCTGGACCTAAAGAACATCTCCAAGCTTCTGCACAGAGAACACATCCAGGTGGGGCCTCTGAAAAGCAGCAGCAGGTCAGTCAGTTTTCTGGTGGATGTGAAGAAGAAAACTCAGGCTGACACTTACATTCTGACCGCGATCCAACAAAACAAAGAACAGTATGAAAACAACAAGTGTGGTATTAATCGGCAGACTGTCAATCTTCAGGATACAGATGACAAACAGAGTGGAGGTATATTTTCTCTAACTGATGGAGCTTCAGGCACACCTGGGATTAAAAGTAAAGGTGATGTGGAGTTTGTTGACGGGTTTCAGATCAATTCAACCATCTATCTGTTCTCCAACGTGCTCTCAGCTCAAACAAACGGAGTCCGTCTCATTTGGCTCGAAGGCGAAAAAAGCAAAACTGATACACTCAAGTCTCGGCGCGACTCTCAGTGTCTCCGACAGTCAAAGCAGCAGACTCGTGGCCTCCTCGGTCATCCCGGGGAAGCAGCCGGTGCTTTGGAGCGGCGTGTTCAGTGTGGATGGAGGAGACACCAACACCCAGCTGATGGTGTTTGACATCAGCCCTGATTACAGCAGTGATGCCAACAGAGATCCAGACTTCTACACCTCTGTGCCATCAGAAGTGACGGTGAGAGCTTTTTAAACTCTGATTTAATGGTTGTACTGTTGATATTGTTCCCACCTGCTGCTCAAGTATCTTCCCTGGTCAGTGATGCAAATAAAACTTTAATATGAGGGGCCATACAAGCCAAAATTCATTATTTCACTCTCACACACATACATTCTTCTATCAAAAGATAACATCAATAAACTTGGGTCAGTTTGATGATAACGCAGCAAGATGCTTCAATAAGGCTTTAAGTAGTAGTAGTGTTCAGTTCTTCTGGTTTCTCATGTTTTGTTTGCATCAGCCGAAGATCCTGAATCCAAAGGCAGTCCTCTTCAGGCAAAGCTACATGACCTCAGTGCTGGCAGTGAGGCAGAATGCCTGGATGGTTTTCTATATTTGGACAGAAGATGGGCTGCTCATTAAGGTTTGTATCAACTAATATACATCAGGTACTTGTCATAGAAAACATGTTTGTGTTTACTTTTTCAAAGTCTATTTTCTGCTTTTAATTTCTGCTATAATAATGTGAGTGAGCAACAATTTCCCTGTTTCTCACTCACGTTATTGAAGAACATTGCTGTTTTGTCTGCATTTTACAATATGTATTTTTCTACTACATTTCATTTATAATACTAGCTTCAATGTGTGTGTGTGTGTGTGTGTGTGTGTCTCTCTCTCTCTCCCCCTCCCTATCTATATATATATCTATATATATCTATATATATATCTATATATCTATATATCTATATCTATATATCTATATCTATATATCTATATATATATATATCTATATCTATATATATATATATATCTATAT